TGACCTCAAGACCACAGGTTCCTCACCCCTGATCTAGTCAAAACCCTGAGATAGAGGCATCTAGGCAGCAGTGGGCAGAGTGCCAGGCCTGGAGACAGAAAGATCTGAGTTCAAATCCAGCCTCAGATGCTTACTCGCTGTGCGACCTTGTGCAAGTCACTTAACTTCTATGTGCCTCAGTTTCCACATCTGTCAAATGGGGATAACAATAGTATCAATCTCCTGGGGCTTTTGAGGGGATCAAATGAAATAATAATTGTAAAGCATTTTGCATGGTGACTGCCATGTTGTTAAGTACCATATAAATGTTAGCTCTTGTTTTTGTAGTGCTAGATTAGGAATCAGAAAGTTGTTATTGTTGAATCTTCTTCAGTTGTGACCCTGTTTGGTTTTTTTTTTTTTGGCAGAGAACTAGAGTGGTTTGCCATTCCCTTCTCATTTTACAGATGAGGAAACTGAGGCAAACAGGGTTAAGTGACTTGTCTAGTGTCTGAGGCCAGATTTGAACTCGGGAAGATGAGTCTTCCTGACTCCAGTCCTGGCGCTCTATCCACTGTGCCAATGATCTGCTCTTATACAATGCTACCATGTCACATTAGGCATTCATTCCAAGGTCCACTGTTGACCTTGATCTCCATTTATATCAGTGATGCCAACTTTGTGGGGTTGTGAAATCTGAGCTTGGGTCATTGACATGGAACATTCTGGTCTGCATCCAGGATGATCTCTTTTCTTAACTGCTGCATCTTCTGCCTGGGGAAGGAACCTTAGACTAAGGAATTATGAGAGAACTTAGGTTTCTTAGAGAGCTAAGGACACTTAGTTCAATCCTCTCATTTTGCAGTAGCACGGAGGGGTTGAGTGACTTTCCCAAAGTACCACAGGCCTAACAGCTGTGATTCAAACTCCTATCTTCTGACTCTAGCTCTGGTTTTCTTCCCCCCTATCATTCCACCATTATAGGTAGGGAGGTAAAAGAGGGGAGATGTGTTTATTAGGCACATGCTGGGCACCATGCTAAGGGCTTTATAAATACCTCATTTGATCCCCGTGACAACTCTGAGAGGTAGGTGCTGTAATTATCCTCATTTGACAGTTGAGGAAACAGGTGAACAGAGGTTAAGTGATTTACCCAGGGTCACGTAGCTAGTGTCTGGGGCTGGATTTGAACTCAGGTCTTCCTGACTCCAGGCCCAGTGTTCTAGCCACTTTGTGACCTGTTGTTGTTCATTTGTTTGAGTCGTGTCTGACTCTTTGTGAACCCACTTGGGATTTTCTTGGCAAAGATACTGGAGCAGTTTACCACTTCCTTCTCCAGCTCATTTGACAGATGAGGAAGCTGAGGCAAGCAGGATTAAGTGACTTGCCTAGGGGTCACCCAGCTAGACATGACACTTACGCCTGAAGTCAGATTTGAACTCAGGAAAATTAGTCTTCCTGACTCCATCCCAGCACTCTATCCACTGTGCCACCTAGCTGCCATTATACTTCAGGTCTTAGAGAATTTTATGACTTCAGAAGTCCCCTTTGACAATGCAAATACCTTTAGGATGTATTAGGCTTTGATTGGCTTCCCACCCCTCTCCCTCCCTCACCCTCTCCCTGGCATTTATATAGCTCTTTAAGACTGACAAAGCACTTTACAAATATTATTTCATTTTATCCTGTCCTGGGAGGTAGATGTTACTATTATCCCCATTTTACAGATGATGAAACTGAGGCAAAGGTAAAATGACTAGTAAGTGTCTTGTGGATGGATTTGAACTCAGATCTTCCTGACCTCAGGTCCAGTGCTCTGTCCACTGGGGCACCTAGCTGCCTGTGTTGTTGTTGTTCAGTTGTGTCTGACTTTTTGTGATCCAGTGGACCATAATGTCTATGGGTTTTTGGTTGTTTTTTTTTTTAAAGATATTGGAGTGGTTTGCCATTTCCTTCTCCAATGGATTAAAGCAAGCAGAGGTTAAATAACTTGTCCAGGGTCACACAGCTGGGAAATATCTGAGGCTGAATTTGCACTCAGGTCTTCCTGACTCCAGGCCAGCACTCTCTCCACTGTACCACCCAGCTGTCTCCAGCTGACTATACTTAGAGCAGGTTATACTTTAGTGGACGGCGAACTGAAAGATGTTTTTTACGCCAATCAGTTCACTATATATTCCGCTCTCCCCATCTCTAATCTAAGGTTGAATCCTCCCTTATAACAATGAAAAATAGATAATGAAAATCAAACAATGCCGAGGCACCAGTATTTGACAGGCCACACCCATAATCTTTCCCACATCTTTACTGAGAGGAGGAAATCATGGTTGTTGCATCCTTTATTCTCCAAGAACAAGGTTGCTCATTACCAGTAGTCCAAGGTGAGCTTCTTGATAGCGTTCTTTCTTTCACAACCACAGGACCATACCTCTAGAGCTGGGAGCAACCTGAAAGGTCATCAGATCCATTTTACAGATCAGGAAATGAAAGCCCACTAGGTTAATTGGCTTGTCTAACTCCACACAGGTATAGCATCACTGCCTAGTAATTTCCTCCTATGGCAGTGACTCAGACTGGATACGCATTATAAGACATTCAATAACGACGAGTAGAATAACACATGGTTTTGTTTTGGCTAGGCAATGGGGTTAAGTGACTTGCCTAGGGTCACACATCTAGTAAGTGTCAAGTGTCTGAGGCTGTATTTGAACTCAGGTCAATAACACACAATTTTAAAGGAAAAATTTCCAAGTAATCTTGGTAAGCCATTTAAAGCATGACCCTTAGTTTTGGTTGTGTTTAGTCATTTCAGCCATGTCTGACTCTTCATGATTCCATTTGGGGTCTTCTTGGCAAAGACGCTGGAGTGGTTTGTCATGTTCTTTTCTAGCTCATTTTATAGATGAGGAAACTGAGTTAAGTGATTTGTCTAGGGTCACCCAACTAACACGTGTCTGAGGCCAGATTTGAGCTCAGGTTTTCTTGACTTCAGGCCTGATGCTCTATCTGCTTCACCACTTAGCTGCCCTGGTAATGTTCGGACCCCTTCATGCCTCTTTTTTTCAGTATTTTCCTTTATACTCTATACTATTTATTCCTCTAAACAAATTTTGTCATTATTTTGTCTAGTTCCTCAAAGTAACTTGGTGACTTGATTAGTAAAGTACTAATCTGTAAGTTAATTAGTGTCATTTTTATTTTATTATTTTATTAGCACAGTCCAAACATGAATAATGAATGTGCCATCTGTGTTCCTCTATTTCTCTAATGGGGGGTTGACTCATGCCTAAATCCTACGATGGCATTGCCCACACTACCCACACTGAAGACACTAGGCCTTCTGTGAGGTTAGGAATAGCCCTTTTCCATTGGCTGTGTGGCCAGAACTGTCTGCATCTTTAAAGTAAGTACAGTTGGATCTTTCTCCTTCATTCACATCTTTGGGTGAAGATGCCTTCGTCACAGCCAGGTACGCCATTTAGAAAAGGGATGGTGGGCCTAAGGGCTACCTCCTTCCCATCCCCCATTCCCCATTCTTTTAGAGACCATGTGGTCCTGAGAAATAGGCCTGAAGCTTTGACCTTTTTCATTGTTCTTTTCTATTATGAGTTCAGGGAGTAGAGCGGGCACCATGGAGCCTTAGGATAGCCGGCCTAGACGTTGCAGCCAGCTCAGCAGCAAAGCCTTGAGAAGCGCAGGGGTGGGTCTGTGAACTCACAAGCATTGATGACTTTGGACTTGAACTTAGTGGGACTAAGGCTAAATCAGGGAGAATTGTGCCCCCAAAGTGTTGAGGGGGGAATGTTTGCATGTTTGTTTTTGCTACATGTTTGAAATAAAATGCCCCTTTGTAAAAGCTAATCTAATGTTAAGTAGTTACATGGGCCTGGGGTGCTAGTCATTGGGCCCCCCAAAATGGAGGGAACACAGTTGGTGGAGGCTCAAGCCAATAGCAGAGAGACTTTCCAAGTCCTTGAGGGTACTGGAGAGCCCTATAGATGGGAAAATTGTAATAGGCCTGGCCCTTAGTGAACGAGACCAGAGCAACCATGTTACATTTATGAATTATTTTTTCTCTTTTTTCTTCCTTTAAGTTAGCACTTGGTCCCTACAATTCATTTTGTTGTTTGTAAACAACTAACTGGGCAAACTGACTGGATCCCATTCTCCTCTTAGAGACTCTACCCCAATCAGCACTATTACTCCACCTTAACCTAGGTTCCTTAAGTTTACTTTATTAATTGGTCTCTCTTTGATTTTCTTTTTTTTTAAGCCTTCCTTTTACAAGCCCAGATAAAAATATGTTTCATCATTTCCCCAGCCTCCTCCCTACCTTATCCTCATCTATTCTCTTAACTTGAGTAAAACTCATTTGTGGTACCCCTTTCTGAGAAATGCTACTTTACTGCTCTCCCTTCCTCATTCATTTCCCCTTCTAGGCTATTCTGAAATCTGTTTTTCCATTCATTGGCTTTATACGTACGCGGTTTTTCTTTCTTTTCTTGGTGTCACCCATACAAAGTAGGGGTTCTTGAAGCCAGAAGCTTCCTTTCTCTTTTGTCCAGTTGTCCTAAGAATGAAATTATAGATTTCAACCACTTCTCCTTTTCTCCCCATTTGAAAAAACAACAACATACTGTTCTTCTTTGATAATTGAAGGCCATTCTCTTTGTTGTCTATAATATCTATAATATTAATCCTAAAGCTCAGAAGTTTAACAACATCAGTTTTTGGTGTGTTAACCTTGAGATTTTTCTCTGTCAACCTGCAGAGACTATCAAACTGTATTCTGTTTTGTTTTTCAGTTGTGTCTTACTCTTTGTAACCCCATTTGGGATTTTCTTGGTAAAGATACTCTAATGGTTTGCCATTTCCTTCTCCATATCATTTTACAGATGAGAAAACTGAGGAAAACAGGATGAAGTGACTTGCTTTCTAGAGTCACACAGCTAGTAAGTGTCTAGGTCAGATTTGAACTCAGGAAGACTCATCTTCCTGACTCCAGGCTTGGCACTCTATCCACTGTGCCTCCTGGCTACCCTATTAAACAGTATTTTACCCTCTGTTTTAGTACATTGGGTGATTTTCTTATACTATTTCTTTGTATATGGTATGCATATTTTAAATTCATAATTTTTCCTGGAACACCTATGATTCTGAAATTATCTGTCCATCATATCTTCAGCATCAGTCACTCTACATTTTATCAAATTCATCTTTTTCCAATTTTAAAAAAAAGTTTGTTTCTGTTAAATTTCCTTTCATTTCTGTACTTTCAAGTTTCAAATATGAAATTATCTTTCTCAGAGAATCTGCTGTTTTGTGCAGATTCTCTGCCCTATGTCCTAAGTGTTTGTTCTCTTGTCTTTTTTATTTATTCTTTGAGAACTCAGATTTCCACCCTCTTTCTTATGTGACATCCTTATTTTAATTATTTATTTTTCTGATGTGTAAGTCCATAGTTTCTTACTGTTATTCCATGATTTGAGGGGACCCAATAGAATTTATTTCATTGTTTTCTATTTATTGGGGGTTTCCTTATTATGTAGTACTGATTTATTGTGCTGTATCCCTTTTCTAGATTCTTTGTTCATATTCCTTTCTTTCTTTAAGTGTCCCTGTCAGTTTATCTGCTTATGTCTGAGATTTCATCGAGGCGTTCTCTCTTGTTCTTTTTGCTATTTGTCTTTCTATCCTGACACAAAAAGTCTTGTATCAGCCCTCCCCTCCCTATTTGCTTATTCTCTCATCTATAACTGCATGTTTTCTCTTATTTAGACTTTTTTTTTGGAGGGGTGAGTGGTTTCAATGACAGTGTTCCGTTGGAGCACTAGGGATGTGAGGCTGGATCTCTGCTATGTTGACTCGCTAAGGGGAAGTAGCCAGATTGGGTTAATTTCTCTCCTCCATCCCCAGGGAACTTTCCATCAGTAGAGAAGTTCCTTCTCCTCTAACCAGCTTTTTACTCCTGAGCCTCTCTCCATTCCATAGTTGCTTGCTGTTTTCATTGCCGGGACTGGGTGATTTCAGTGCTGTCCCTTGGTAAAAGGTGGATCTGTCAGACTGGGTCTCTGTTGAGAGAAAACACTGAGGTGATAAGATAGAAATTAACAAAGCCAAACATCAAAATTTGGGTGGACTCATAAAGATAGTCATACTGGGGAAGGAAGTGGGTCAGTTTTTTTTTCTTTCAGAAAGTTCTGTATTTTGAGGTGGTTTTATTTCATCTCCTGGGAGTTTTAATGGCATTATTTGGTGTACTTCTTACTATTTTGAGATGGTTGGGATTGGAATTAGAAGGAGAAACAATCTGTTGCTCGACTACCTTGTTCAAGTAGCCTTCTATTTGTTCTCTCTGCCTCCAAGTCTTTCTTTCTCCTAATATTTTTTATCTGTCATTGCTAGATTTATCTTCATAATGCATAGTTCTAATCATATTATCCCTCTACTTGAAAAGATCTAACGATTCCTTATTGTCTTCTGAATAACATCTAAAATCCTGAGCTTGTCATCCAAGACCCTCTGTGGCATTATTGTTCAGTCATTTTAGTCATGTCCAACTCTTTGTGACCCCATTTGGGGTTTTCTTACAAATATACTGGAGTGGTTCATCATGTCCTTCTCCCACTTATTTTACAGATAAGGAAACTGGGGCAAATATAACTCATGTCCCTGACTCCAGGCCTGCCACTCTATCCACTGAGCCACCTAGCTACCCAAGACCCCCTGCAGTCTGGCTCAAATTTATATTTCTGGCCTTATTTCACATTATTCCGCATTAAATTGGACAAAAACGTACTTCTTGTTATTTGGAGAGCCTTCTCCCTACTGGAATATGTGTATTACTTTTCCCTTTGATCCTGTTGAAATCCTACACAACCTTGAAGACCTAAATTAGGTGCTGCCTCTTCCACATAGTCTTCCCTAATTCCGCTAGAGTTGGCCAGCTACTGGAGAACTACAGGAAACTTATCCGAGCATCCTCTGTTGTTGGATAAAAGCATCAATGTTCGTTGGGTTGCAGCAAGTGACCAGTAGTTCACCCTAATGGTTAGAAGGTTGAGGAAATAGTCAATTTAATGGTTTTGGAGAGTTTTTTGATTTTTATTTTTTAGGGTGAGAGAGACCTGAACATGTGTATAGGTAGCAGAGATGAGCTAGTAAATAAGAAAAATCAGAAGATGAGAGCAAGGGGACAATCAAAGAGGCAAGCTCTGGGAGGAGATGGGAGAGGATGTGATCGAGGGCACAAAGAGTGGACAGAAGAGAAGGGGCAGAATAGCCACTGTGCAAAGTGTAATAGAATCAAAGCAAGGACAAATAACAGGATTAGTCTTCATTAGTGAAGGCTCGGTTGTGATTTGATGCCAGATTTGCTCCAAATCCAGTTAGCATGCTTGTATGACTTCCTCCACTGGTGCTCAGCAGGTGTGGTGAAGGTGTGTGATGAGTGTAACCTAGGACAGGGGTTTGTCAAGATGTGAATGATTATCGGACATGGGGGTAAAGGATTCCAGCATAGAGTATAGAGTGCAATTGAATTAGTTAACCAGAAGGTCAAGACCACAAAAGGAGTTAAAAGTGAACCAGAGCAGGGTCTGATGGATGGGTAGAGATGCCAGGTGGAAGAATAGGTTCATGAGGTGTCGGGTGTAGGAACAGATGGAAGGCTGGTAGGTTTGATCGGAGTATAGAATTTCGGAATTCTACATAGTGGAGGCAGAACCCTTATGAATGATGAGATTGCAGCAATGACAGGGCATAAATATGGAGCTCAAAGGGAGCTTAAAAAGCCACCTAGGCCAACCCCCTCATTTGACAGTTGTGGAAAATGAGGTCTCAAATGACGTTTACCCAGGGTCACATGGTAGCATCAGAGATGAGTTTCGAATCCAGGTCTTTTAACTCTAGAGCTAATACTCTTTCTTCTGTACCATGCTGTTGTTGTTGCTGGTGTGTGTGTGTGTGTGTGTGTGTGTGTGTGTGTGTGTGTGTGTGTGTGTGTATGTGTGTGTGTAGTCAATTGAAGCTGTAGATCATGGAAACTGAGGAGATAAAGACATATTGAAGTTTCTATGTATGATGGTAGGTGTTGGGGAAGAGAAGATGTGATCGAAGTTCTGAACTTCTCAATAAAGGAAGAGGAATATGACCTGGTGGCTTGGTAGCTGACTGCAACCAGAATTAGGGTTGGGTGTTATGAAAGGCTAGGGGTGAACCCTGGAGAAGGAAGATTTGGAAGTAGAATTGGCAAGCATGCAGTAGGCCTCTTCTACATCCTGGCCCACCGTGTCCTAGGAGAAGAGAGAAGATGAGCTTGGTACAGTATGTTAAACTGAAATCTGTGTCTTTGTAACTCCCAGCCGTTATTCTTAACTTTGCCTTCTTGGGCCAAGCAGAGCAAACATGACAACTTCTCCATTTAAATATTTGAATGTACCTGTCATATCCCTGCTTCTTCCAGTCTTCTCTAAGAGGAACCATCTAAGTTTCCTTTTCTAGTTTTAATACGCTATGATTATCTTCCTTATTCTCCTGGACTTCATCATTATCTCTAAGAACTCATCTTCCTGAAAGATTGAATCAGTTCTGAAACTCACACCTCTTTGGTTCCCCCTGCTTCTGGGGCCTCTCCTTCTTTCTGATTGGAGAGGGTAGAAGGTGGACCTCAGAGAGCTTCTCTCAGATGCTCCATTTAAGGTGGGGTCCCAAGGTACTCTCTAGCTCCCAGACTTCAGTATGCCTCTATATAGCCTGGATACTCACTGCTTCCCCATCCCCAACAGTTCTCTTTATGTATTGGCTTCCACCCACTAGCTTTGCCCTCTCTGACCTCTCAAATTTACCTAATGTCAGAATCCAGGGTTGGGCAAGAGAAATATGTCAATGAAGTGAGCAGATATACCTCAGTTAAATAAAGGTGAGTCATACCAAGATAATGGCTTCTTAAATTCAGATGAGAAAAAAAAATCACAGAAAGTTTTGAAGACATATCAAATCATAAAAGATTGGGAAGGCTAAAAGAGGGCTTGAAGTCAACCCTCAAACCTGCAAAGTATATTCAATGCAATGCCTTCCAATGAGTTTGCAAGAACTTTTTGACACTAAGGAAGATGAAAATTTACTAGTTCAATTTTAACAATAAAATTTGCACAGTTGTTAGATGAGATTGAAAAGTGAGTATCATGATTTAGTAATTGCAGCCCATGATGACCCATTTGGATGCATGTATCATTGTGAGGTGTCTTTTTCCTGCAATGACAGTTATTAAAACTATGCCAATCTCATTGTCTTCATTAAATATATTATTAATAATAACTTTTAGCAATTTTTAATAATAATAAACAAAACAAAACAAAATTATTTTAAAATATTGTTCATTTCATCTTTATCTCATTCTTAAAAATTTATGTTTTGTGTGTTTATTTACAGAGCTGCTTTCAAAGCCAAGAAGACCGAGTTCAGGTGCTGTCTCTGATACTGGCTGAATCATTCTGGGTAATGACTTAACCTCTCAGTGTTTTAGTCAATTCTCTAAGACTGTAAGTTGAAGAAAAAAGTTGATAGAGGACATTTCCTAATCGGGGAGTTTTCTGTAGCAGTGGAATCTTAATGCTACAGCATATACAGTATATTTTTCGTTTATTTATTTATAATTTATGGAATAAAACAAGCATTTCCATAACAGTATAATATAAAAAGATGATTGTAATGAAACTGCAGATCTATTATATACAACTTGCTATTCCTTTTAAATATATAATAAAGTTATCGCGTAAATTCCCCCTCCCCTTTTTTTCTTCCCTCTCCCACTTGCTTGAGAAATGGCTGCCATCACACATAAATAGGCACGTGTGTATGTGTGTATATATAAAATTGTTCTAAACATAATCTATTTATCAGTTCTTTCTCTGAAGGCAGATAGTGTCTTTCTTTGTGTGTCCTTTATAGTTAATTTGGGCATATAGAATATAATTTTATACACTATATTTTATATAATATAATTTTAGTATCTGATAACATAAATTTATAAAGTACATATGTAAAGTTTATAAAGTATTTTAAAGTGCATAATATCTTAGTACATGTATATAATTTATAAATAAATCAATCTATGTTGGTGCTCCCTCAAACATTCTAACTGCCCAATTTTTCAATCTCCTTATATATTGTGACTTACTCTACCCTTTTATTCTTCCTCAGCCACACACGCACCATTACACCACTTCTCTGATAGACAAAAATTCTTGCATTTGACCATAATGTCCTATCATCTCATCTCTCTCTATGCCTCACCCCTCTTAAACCTATTCTTTGACCTAATCAATACCTTCAATCCTTCTTGCCCTTAGTACTTTTTTTAAGCCATTACCCCTGTTCTGATTTTGCTTTCCAATTATTACCTTATAGTTAAGCAATTCAATCCCACACCTTTTTTTTTTCATCTGGAACCCCTCAACTCCTTGTCAGGCTGTCAGTCAATAAACATTTATTAAGTGTCTACTAATGTGCCAGGCACTGTGCTAGTCATCCCTTGCCCAGCTCCAGCATGTGATAACTTCCACCTTCTATCTTTTCTGCTTCTACTTGTGTTTTACTGAATGAAGATGGAGAAAGTCACAAAATGGTGATGGTGAGGTATACTATAAATTCACCTTATAAACTCCAACTGATTATAACCACAGCAAGGCAATCCTTTTATTCTTTCCTATGTGATTCCCCAGCCCACTACCTTCAGAAGCTATTCCTTCCCTTTCTTCTCCCTACCCTCTCAGCAGAAAATCTTATTTTACTGGGAAAATTGGTGCCATTCACAGTAAGCTTTCTCTTCTTTCCTTCTCTTCCTTCATCTCAACATCTTTTGATACAGTCTCTGACTCTCTCTGCCTTTTTCCCAGTCTCTGATAATAAGGTGGCCATTATCCCTGCCAAGGCTACCCTTGTATATGCTTGATTACATGCTCTCACATGTTCAGCACATCCCAACTTCACACACACACACACACACACACACACACACACACACACACACACGCACACGCACACGCACACGCACGCACATGCACACACA